TAGCTGATATACCAGAGGCTTACCGGTTGAAGGCAGTGAGGGAGGGGAGCTGGGGTCCTCTGACTCGGCCACCAGTGCTGCCCCCGTGGCGTCACAGGCACTTCTCAAGAACACCGAGGAACAGTCTGAAAACCACTGATCTTGCTTAGCCCCTTCATTTTACAGGTGGAGCACTGTGGCCAGAGGAGGGAAGCAATCCGCCTAGTCACACAGTGAGCCCGGGAAGAGCCTGACCCTTTCCAATGTCATTCTCCCTACACCCGTACCCCCATCCCAAAAGGACAATTTTCTACAGCAAGCAAATGTCCACTATTTTACAAAATGTTTAAAATACATACACTCTCAAACTCACCCCTACAAGCACTCACAGGCTTATCAGATCACTGCACCAAGGCCTACGAAGCCCTGCAGGTCTGCCAACTGCCCACTTCTCCTATCTCCTGCCCTCTGTGGCAGGTTAATTCTTCAAATCTCCTCCCGTTGGGTGGGCTCTATATCGCCTCCCATAGCACTTGGCAGAAGTGACACTGCCTGGTTGCCAGGCCCAAGCTTTAGGGAGCCAGCAGCTTTCACCTCCTGTCTCTTGGAACACTCACTCCCTGGATGCGCCCACAGAACCCGGCTGTCATGCTGTCAGAAGTCCAAGCCACACAGGGAAGTCAAGTGTACGCACACCAGCTGACTTCCCCAGCTGGGCTCCCGGACCACAGCCAGTATCACCTGCCAGCCATGAGGGAGCCCTCTTGGACATGGAGCCCAGTCGAGCCTTCAGATGACTCTAGCCCCTGCCAACAGCTGAGTGCAGCCACATGAGGCCACAAGCAAGAAGTACCCAGCTAACCCAAGTGTCCATCAACAGAAGAGTGGATAAACAAAATGTGGTCTATACGTAAATGGACTATTTTTCAGGTTTTGATATCTGCTACAACACAGATAAATCTTGAAGACATTAAGCTAAGTGAAATAAGCCAGACACAAAAGGACAAATATTATATGATTCTACTTATACAAGGTTCCTAAAGATTTTTTTTTTTTTTTATTTATTCAGTTTTTCCCCCCAAAGCCCCAGTAGATAGTTGTACGTCATAGGTTCACATCCTTCTAGTTGCTGTACGTGGGACTCGGCCTCGCGTTGGACGGAGAAGTGGTGCCTCGGGGCGCTCCCGGGATCCGAACCCGGGCCGCCAGCATCAGAGCGCACGCACTTAACCGCTAAGCCACGGGGCCGGCCCTACAAGGTTCCTAGAATAGGCAAATTCATAGAGACAGAAAAGTAGCATAGAGGTTTCCAGGGGCTGGGGAAGGGGAATGGAGAGTTAGTGTTTAACGGGTACAGAGTTTCTGTTTTGAGATGATGAAAAAGTTCTCGAGACGGATAGTGGTGACAGCTGTACAACAATATGAATGTTCTTAATGCCACTGAATTGTACACTTAAAAATGGTTAAAATAAATAAATACACACATACACTCCATTGGCATAAATACACATATACATACCAGTAACCACTTTTTGAAATCTCATGTTTTTATATATTTAGAACTAATCTTGTCAACAATATTTACTAACCTGGTAAATACTGATATTAATTACTCCTCAGAAAAGATCATTAATTAAATAACTGATTACAAACTATATATAATAATTTCATTTTAAGTTAATGTTTATAGGTTTGTATATGCGTATAAAAATGTCTAGAGGGTGGAAGTATATACATCAAAATGCTAATAGTGTTTTTTTGAGGGGTGGTGGGATTATGAGTACATTTAATTTTCTTTTTTATTGAGAAAAAAACAACGAATCTCCCACCAAATCTGTGGTGGGTATTCTATAGGGGATTCATTCCAAGAAATCACATGTTTAACATGGATTGTAACTTTGTACAGTTGGGACTCCATAAAGAAAATGGATAAACAGAACACAAACAAAAGAATTGCTCAGCTAAGCCTAATCAACCCACAGAACTCTGAGATATAGTAATAAACTGTTGTTGAACCACTAAGTTTTGGAGTGCTTTATTATGCAGCAACAGGCGAAGGGAACATCCTATCTTCTCCTCACGTGCTCCACGCCAGCCACACTGGCTTTCTTTCTGCCCCTTGGCCACATTAAGGTTGTTCCTGCCTCAGAGCCTCTGTGCTCGATATCCCCACCATGAAGATCTCTTTCCCTCCAGCTGTTTGCACGCCTGGCTCCTCATCCCTCAGGTCTGTTACAGACTGAAGGTTTGTGTGTGCCCCCAAATTCATATGTGGAAGCCCTAACCCCCAATGTAATGGGATTAGGAAGGGGGCCTTTGGGAGGTGGTTAGATTTAGAGGAGGTCATGAGGGTGGAGTCCTCAGGGTGGGATCAGTGCCCTTATAAGAGACCAGAGGGCTTGCTCTCTCTCCAACATGTGAACACAGGGCAAGAAGGCAGGGCCTGCAAGCCAAGAAGTCCTCACCAGAACCCGACCATGCTGCCACCCTGATCTTGGACTTCCTGTTCTCCAGAACTGTGAGAAATAAATGTCTGTTATGTAAGCACCCCTGTCTATGGTATTTTGTTATAGCAGCCTGAGCTGATGAAGACAAGGTCTCAGCCCTGCCAATCACACATCGCCTGTTTACATCCTTCATAGCACTATGTCTTCTGGAACTATCATATGTAAAAGTTTATTCACTGTCTCCCACATTAGACTCAGCTCCATCAGGGCAAGGGCCTTATCTGCCTTATTCTTGCCTGTATCCCCAGAGTCCACCAACCAGTGCTTTACACTTAGGAGGTGCTTCTAAAATACATGTGGAAGGGGCTGGCCTCATGGCTTAGCGGTTAAGCGCTCGCGCTCCGCTGCTGGCCGCCCGGGTTCAGATCCCGGGCGCGCACCAACACACTGTTTCTTCGGCCATGCTGAGGCCGCGTCCCACATACAGCAAGTAGAAGGATGTGCAGCTATGACATACAACTATCTACTGGGGCTTTGGGGGGAAAATAAATAAATAAATAAAATCTTAAAAAAAAAAAAAAAGAAAACTTAAAATACATGTGGAAGGAAGGAAGGAAGGAAGGAGTGAAGGAAGGCGGCTGCCTAGGTGGCCCTAACTCTCTCAAACTGCCTCCAGGGACCTCATCTTCCCTACTAGTCTTCCTTCCCCCAAAATTTGGCTGTAAGGCACAGGTTTCCCCAAGGCCTCACCCAATTCCTACAACTCAATGAACTCAAACACGACTATGGGGCAATGGACAAATATTTCAGCAACATTCCCCGACTGATGTGTCCACGCAGCACTGTCCCTTCTCTTCCAACCAAGATTGTGTGATTTTTTTTGGCTTTCTGGAATTTGCTTTTGGAGCTGCTTTTAGAGCTGGTGTCATTTTTTTTTTTCCTGGCATTTTGTCAATGGGGCAAATCTCCATCTTTGGAGGGCAGGTCTGCCTTCTGGCCACAGCTCCCGTCATTCAGAGCTGAATGGGGAGAACCAAGTGAGTGATCAAATGGAAACGTCCTGAGATCAACAATGAGGGGGATTGGAATCTGCCATGACTGAGTATCCTCACTAGCTCATGAACTAGCTCTGAAGGCAAGTCTCAGATAGGAACCGCCAGCTGTTAAAGGCACAGCTGTTTTCTCCACGGTGACTGAGAATGGATGCTCTAGAGTCAGCCTGGGTTCAAATCCCAGTTCTGCCACTTCAAGCTGCGTGACCTTGGGCAAGTGACTTCACTCCTCTTTGCTTCCATTTCCTTACGTGTAAAGCACAGATGACAATAACATCTGTCCCTCAGACTGGTGGAAGGATTAAAGGAGCTATTACCTTAGAAGACTTAGGGGAAGACTTAGAACTGTGTCTAGCACATAGTAGGTACTAAACAAACATTAGCTCTTATTAGCTATTAAAGACTTACATACAGACCCCAGCTGCCCACTCAACAGCTGCATTACCTTGGGCAAGTTATTTTACCTCACCAAGCTCAGTTTCCTCACCTTTCTAATGGAAATTGATCATAATACCCACTTCATGACATTTCTCAAAGGCTTAAATAAAAGAAAGCATGTGAATAATAATAGCAACAGCTAACACTGGTAGGCCCCCTACTATGTGCCGTGTGCTTTATACACTAGGAGGCAGATACCATAATGCTCCTTCCATTAAACCAAGGAGGAAACTCAGGCCAGACAGCTGGAGTGGCTTGCTCAGGGTCACCTAAGAAGGACGCAGGGCTGGGTCAGAGCTCAGGTCTGTCTTATCCTGAGCCTGTGCTCGTTTCTCTACATCAGTCTGTCTTGGGCTTACTAAAAGCCAAGTGCTGTGACCACGCATGAATTCCTAAGCTCCTCACAGCTCCTAAGCTGAGACTGACCTCTAAGCCCACGCTCTTTCTTGCCACGCTACAGCATCAAGGGCAAGTGCACTGTGTCAGTTACCATCATTACAACTAGACGGTAGCTCCGTGAAAGCTGAGGCTGGGTCTCCCTCATTTTCATATATCACCCCTGGCCTTTGAGTACTATGTCTCATACCTGACAGACGCTCTATGAATATTTCACAGCATGTGCCTATGCCCTGCTAACCTATTTTTTTTTTTTAAACAGGGCCTACTGGAGCGCAATTAATAAAGCACATCCCATTTTATCAGGATGACATCATTGCTTAGTCTGCACCTGAAGCTGTTCTTCTCTAGAAGCTGCTTCCAATTTTCGCCTTGTGAAGAGCAAGGTAACAGGGGAGTGATTCTCACGCCTAGAGGAGGAAATCGAGACTCATGTGACTGCAGAATAGTCTTTTTATGACATCCTTTATCGCCTGATAAACTCTTGCTCAACCTTGTGGCAGGTCAACGTCCCGCCGTGTCAGGCTCTGAGATGGGAACAGACCACATAGGATCCCAAGTTCAACAGACAGAATGGCCGCACCTTTGGTCTCATACATCAGGGTGTGACAGAGGTGGAGAGGATCAGGAAGGTACATGAGCCCCACGTCCCTCCCCTAAACCCAGCAATGCTGTCCCCTTTAAGTACCTCTGGATCCACTGGTCTTTGTAGGAGGCAGTGAAAGAAATGCCTGCAAAAAGTTCCGACTTGTTGAAACTCACATGAAACTGATCCCAAAATGGGCCAAAAGGGTTTCCTTCCTGCAGAAAGAGAGTGGTCAAAGGCTTACTGAGGGGGAGGGAAAACCGACTGGGTATGGGGCCAAGGAACTGTGGGTGGGGGAACCCTGGGTGATTTGACTCAGGCTGAAAAACCCTCACAGGATGGCCCAGTAGGATTGTCACCGTGTCATTCCCGGGCTGGGGGCTGAGGAAGGCAGCTCCACCTCCAGTCTGGTTTCCAGCAGATGTTCACCACAGTGTGTGAAGGAGTCTTTCCTACTCACATGCCACATGCCATTGACCCTGCAGAATTGGTGGGGGTCTGGGGAGGAAACAGACCTTGGATTTGGGACCATGGGCTAGAGCTTCAAGAGACTTTCAAGACCAGCTGATCCAATGGCCTTATTTTCAAGATGGAGATGAGGGCCCAGAGAGGGTAAGAAACTTGCCCAAGCTCACACAGCAAGTGAGGGCAGTGTTTGGGCTGTAAGCCAGGTCTCCTTTCTCAAATTTCATGGCTCCTCCAACCACCCCCCAAGACTTTAGCATAACCACTGAAAGACATATTGCAGATTGCCTTATTCCTAAAGCACCAGAAATTTACAAATTTCTACTACAAATTATGACTGCTTCTCATTTACCGGCTGAGAGGCAGGAAAGTATGCAAGTTAGGAGGGTGGACAAGGGAGTCAAATCACTTTGGGCTGAATCCCAGCTCCACCACTGGTTTGCTTTGTGACCTTGGGCAAAATACTGAACCTCTCTGTGCCACACTCAGCGTCCTCTCTCGAAACTGGGGATATTAATAGTACTTTCCTCATGGAGCAGTCTGAGGATTAAGTGGGTTAGTACGTGTAAAGTTCTTAGCTTGGTACCTGGCATGTAGTTAAGTGCTATGAGTATTAGCTATTATTACTGATGTGGCACTTTACAGTTTACAAGCACTCTTCCATCTGGCCCTCATGACACTATGAGTGAGACAGAGCTGGACTAGTATCCTTAGGTAGAAATAAAGGCTCAGAGGAAGCAAAGTCCTCTGCCAGGTAACAATGCAGACAAATGCCAGAAATGGGACTTAAATCTCCACCTTTCTACTCTAAGCCTTTCTGGTGCCTTCCCCCACATATTGCCATCACACAGTGTCTCGGGGGCCTAGAGGACATGGAACAGGCAGAAAGAGCCCCCCAGACCCACAAGACCCACCTTCATGGGGCATGTCTTCTTATCAGGGCTTCGCTGGGCTGCCACCTCAAAGCAGTATGCCACCCGCCTCTCGGGGGGCCAGTGGGTGGGTGCCAGCTTCTCCATGAAGTCCTCCAGGCTGATGACCCGATGGTAGGCCTGGAGGGGCTCCAGCTTGAAGTACTTCTGGTAGGACACATGGAGCTATAGGAAAAGGGGGGAAAGAAGCAGCAGGGGTCCTGCCTCAGTTTCCTAGAGGCTATTTTAGAGACATTTATTAAAACTACACACTCCAAGACCCAGACAGCTCAGACCACATGCCACTGAAAAACTTTTGGCAAAAGACACCAAAGTTAGGACAGAGACAGACTTGGAGAAGATATCTGCAAACCAAAGAAAAAGAGTAATATCCCTCACATTAAAAAAATGCCTGCTGATCTATAAGAAAAAAGACAAATGACAAAAAAGAAAATACGGGTAAAGTATAGGAGTGAACAACTCACAGCAAAGGAAACCCAAAGAGCCAATACACTCAAAAGATGTGCAACGGCACTAGTAATTAGGAAAAAGCAAATTACACTTACAAGACATCACTTCTCACCCGTGAGACTAGCAAAAATTTAAAAGCTTAAGTCTAATTGTTGGAAAGGATGTGGTTTGGAAACGCGCATTTTCGTACATGGCTGGTAGAAGCGGACATTTTAGAACCAACCCTTTGGAATGTAATCTTGCAGCCTCTAATAGAATTTAAAATGCTCCTTCCACCTCTAAGTATTTGTCCTAGAGAAGTTTTTGCACTTTGCACCAGGAGATGGGTACAAGGATGCTCAGAGCCTATACAGTGGAAGTATAGGAAAGAACTTGGAAGGAGTCACACCAAAGACACTAAATCCGTGATAGTGGTTGCCTCTTGTGGTAGGGGGAGGGACTAGGATTAGCCTCAGGAACCAAGAGAGATTGTATCTTTTAACAACTTTATCTGTAACATTGTACTTCTTTTATTAACAAAAAGAAAAGATGCAGCGAAGATGAGAAAATGTTAATGATTATCACTTTAGTGGTGGGTACACAGATGGTGATTGTATTAATCTCTATATTTTTCTAGATTAAAAAAAATTTCTTAGAACATCATGGAATAAAATTTAGACTTTATCCTATAGGACAGGGTTCCCAAACATGTGGATAAAGGGTTCTGCAATAAAAACGCTCCAGAGTTAAATAGGCCCCGGAAATGCTGTGTTAAGCTGGTTTCTTTACTACAGGACTTCTCAGGGCCTTTAATAGCATAGCCTTTAATATGCTAATGGGCATTTTGAATCTCCAATTTTGGGGGGACGGGAAACTCAGAATATAATTTCCCAAACTGATTTAACCACTGCACCCTTCTTGCAGGAGCCACTGGCATTCCAATGAACAGACTTTGGGAATTTTAACTGTTAGCAACAAGGTCCTGCTGAAGGATTTTAAGCAGAAATAACATGCGCTTTGCGTTTTTGAAAGATTACTTTGGTGGTAGAGCAGAGAATGTTTTTTTTTTTTTGTGAGGGAGATCAGCCCTGAGCTAACATCCGTGCTAATTCTCCTCTTTTTGCTGAGGAAGACCGGCTCTGAGCTAACATCTATTGCCAATGCTCCTCCTTTTTTTTCTTCCCCAAAGCCCCAGTAGATAGTTGTATGTCATAGTTGCACATCCTTCTAGGTGCTGTATGTGGGACGCGGCCTCAGGATGGCCAGAGAAGCGGTGCGTCGGTGCGCGCCCGGGATCCGAACCCGGGCTGCCAGCAGCGGAGCGCGAGCACTTAACCGCTAAGCCACCGGGCCGGCCCAGGAGAGAATGTATCGATGGTAAAATTAGAGGGAGAGGAATTGGAGGCTACCGCAATAGTCAATAGTCCTTTTATTTGTTCAAGTATTCATTCAGTACGTACTTTTGAGCATCTCTCACAAGTCCAAGTGAAGATGGACACGTTAGAAGATATAAAAGAAGGTGAAGTAGAGAGTAAAGGGAGGCATTTAGGACGACTTCTAGGTTCCTGGCTTGGTATCCAGGTGAATGGAGGTGACAGAAACTAAGGCTGGGAATATAGGAGGTGACATAGGTTTGAGGGAAAGATGCCAAGTTCAGTTCTGGCTTTAAGAATTTGAGATATCTGTGGGACATACAAGTAGACTCAAGGGTCTAGGAGTTAGAAACACAGGCCTGTGGTCAGAGGAGAATCTAGGCCATAGATAAAACTTAGGAGGTATGTGGAGAAGAGTGAAAGCCACAAGAGTCTATAGAAATCTATAGGAAAGCAAATAATGGTAATAATAGCAACTAATATTTATTGAGTGCTGTCTTAGCGCCAGGTGCTGTGCTCACCACACTTCATGGGGTTGCTCCTCTCATTCTGAGAGGTAGGAATACAACCATCTCCAGGTTACTTATGAAGAAATCCAGGCGGACAGAGTCTAGATAACTCATCTGAGGTCACATGGCTAATAAGCAAACAGAAAGAGGAGACACACCAACCTTTAAACAGTGGGTGGAGAGAGAGGAGCCCCCGATACAGCACAAAGACGAAAATGCCCAGAGGTCAGGGCTGAAGCAGGAATAGGCTGTGTGTCAGAAGCGAGGGGAATAAGGAAGTTCAGGGAGGAGAGAGGCTCATGGGGCCAGGTGCCACCGGGAGGTCAGCTGAGATAAAGACTGAGAAATGACCCCTGGACTTGGCAATTCTGAGGTCCCCGGTGACCTCTGTGAGAAGGGTCCCAGTGGGGAAGGGGAGCCCAATTGTGGTAGGTTGAGTAACCTGTACAAAGCAAGAAGTGGAGACTCCAAAACACTCTTGGCTGAGAAGGCAAGGCGAGAGAAAGCAGGCAACCAAAGGGAGATGAATGGGCAGTGTCTCAACTATAACAGCTGAGTGCAAAAAATCTGAGCATCAATGGCTCCCAGTTACTGAGGATTTCATGTGTCTTACGCACTTTACGCCATTGAGCTCAGTTGATTTAAGAATGAAGAAACTGAGGCACAAAGAGCTCAAGTACCCTGCCCAGGCTACACAGCCAGTAGGCGGCCAAGCCAGGCTATGATTTCAGGTACTCTGGCTTTTAACCTCTAACTGTTAAAGACCTCTCTAAATACAGGCATGCAAAGGAAAAAATAAAACCAATGCAGAGAAAAGACTATAAGAATGAAATACAGTGTTTTATACTTACTAAATATAAGTTTTGAAGTGTATTAAAAACTTTTAAAGTCAATTCATTAAATATTAATTCAGTTCCTACTGCCAGGCTCCTAGGGATACAAAGTGAACAAAGACAGACACAGGACCAATTGAAGAACTAGAGGATGATGAGGATCACCATGCTAAGGGAGCCCCTTGGTGGGGTTAGAGGCGGTGCTGGAGCCAGACTGCCTGGGTTTGTGGCCTTGGACATGTTATTAATTAACCTGTGTTTCAGTTTCTTCTTCAAAACTGACAATAGCACCCATTACCCTTTGACCAATGAGATACATAGAGGGTGGGACCAACCAGGGCTGGAAATGGGGCTTTAGGTTCAGGTAACAGGCTCTGGAGTAGGACAGACATGGGCTTGAATTCCAGCTCTACAACTGACAAGACTGTGTGACCTTGGGCAAGCTACCTAACCTCTCTAAACCCCACTTTCCTCATAGGGATGTGATGAGGGAGAAAAGAGCTAATCTTCATGCAGTGCTCAGAACAGTGCCTGGCAGACAGCCACTGTTAGCCATTGTTACTCCAGGGAAGACAGTTCTGAGTGGGGGTAGGGCAAGCTCAGAGGGGTAGGAGGGAAAGCCCAGACAAGGACTTGGGGTCAAGCAGAGGTGAACAGGATTAGGGAAGGGTGGACAAGGGCTAAGGTCCGTGGGAGGTACTCACATTGGTGAAGGGAGGTTTGTGATGCTGGTACTCAATCCAAGGAGGTACAGCCAGGGTGCGGTTCAACAGCTTTGCAAATGCCAGGGAGCCCAAGAAGTGATCAGCCTGGTTCCCGAAGCGCCCTGGATGGTATATTGTGGGTGAGAGGAGGCTGGGGCATTGAGGGCATGGGGCATGCAGGGCTCAGAAAGGATGTGGAGCCGGAGTGGCAAGGGCCAGGACACCAAGGAGAGCCAGAGAAGCTGGCAGCATGGGATCAAGTCTGGAGTCCTGGGTCTGACACTCAAGTCCCTTCAGGCCCTGTCCCTTCTGCCTCAGCCACTCCAGGTTCCTTGCTGGAACCTGCTCTACACTTCTCATCCCCACCCCATGCATTTGCTCTTGCTGTTCCCTCAGCCAGGAGTGCCCTTCCACCTCTATCTCCACTCACCTGCACATGAAGGGGCAACCCCAATGCCTCATTCACTGGGATCCTTTCAGCCCTGCCATACTCCAGTCTCCCTCCTCTGCCTCCCACCTTGGATTGGAGTTACTTATGGTTCTTCACTTTTCCTAGAATGTCTTTTCCCACTTTCTGGCCTTTGTACTGGCTGTTTCTTCAGCCTGTGAATGCCTCAAGGGGCAAGGACCCTGTCTGACTCTTTTTGTTATCCCCAGCATGGCTTCCATTCATTCATTCCACAAATACTACTGAGAGGCCACTACATGCTAGGCTCTCTGCTAGGTGCTGGAATACAGGAATGAGCACAGAAGACAAGGTCTCTGCCCTCAAGACACTCCCAGTTCAGCTAGGGAGACATTAAACATGTAAACAAATACATAGTGATACATTCTGAAAATTTCAAGAAAAAGAATGAAAAAAGTTTGGTGATGGAGAACACTGAGGAGATTATTTGGGTTGGGGTCAGTGAAGTCCTTTCTGGTGACATTTAAGCTGTGACCTGAAGATGGGAAGGAGCTGGTCAGGCAGAAGTGAAGAGGAGGATGTTCCAGGTAGAGGGAATAGCACAGCCGATTGCACAGGCTGCAGGACCCGAGTATGTGTGAGGAACAGAAAGGGGACAAGTGCGGCTGCAGCTGGAGGATCTGGGGAGAAGGGAGTGGTGGAGATGGGCAGAGGGCCAAATCACCATGGTCAGGAGTCTGGAGGGTTTTAAGAAGGATTGGATTTTACAGTGATCCACCACCCCATTTAAACTGCACCCTTCAACCGGCCCTTCGATTCTCCCTTACCTTTCTCTATTTTATTTTCCCACAGCATTCATCCTCTTCTAAGATACTATGTAATTTCTTATTTTTTATGTTTATCTTTTATTGTCTGTCTTCCCTAACTAAAATGAAGGCTCTACAAGGGCTTGGAGTTTTCTGTCTTATCACTGCTATATCTCCAGAGCAGAGAACAGGGCTGGGCACAGAGTAAGCGCCCTATAAATATTTGTTGAATTAATGAAAGAATCGCCCAGAGCCAGCGTTGGGTCAGTGACATCAAGTACTGCTGCACTAACTCCATCTACTGCACTCCGGGCTAGCTTAGACCTTACGCAAGACACCTAACCTTTCCTGGCCTCAGTCTTCTCATCTGCCAAATGGAAAGGTGGACACAGAGGCCCCTCAGCACCTCTGCAACTAGGGCAGAGAGGCGAGAAGCAGGCCTGGCCCCGCGCGGGGGTTCTTTCCTGGACCTGTCAAGGTGTCTCTGGGCGCCTAGGAGGAGTGGCTTCACCTCTCTGGGCCTCAGTTTCCCCATTTGAGCAGAGGGCTCAGGAGGCCTTACCCATGCATGGGCAGTAGAGCACGTAACCTGCTGGGTCCCAGGAGGCCGCGGGCAACCCCGGGAGCGGCAGAAGCAGCAGCAGGAGAGACACACGCAGCGGCAGGGGCTGCGATGCCCACGCGGCGGCGCCCATGTCGGCTCCCGAGCCCGAGCGCGCCGCGGCGCGGAGGCGGGGAGGAAAGGAGGGGCGCGAGCGTCCGCCCCGCTCCCGGCGGTCCC